AGCATTAATAAAAAAAAAACTAATAAATAGAATTGAGCTGAATGACTGTGGCTTCCTCACTCAGCACAAAAAAAAATTCTCTTCAAGTCTATTTTAGAAAATTTTATTTTTTTTTTGAAAAAAAAAATACATATAAACAAGTCACTTTTTATCAACATTCCCATTATTATCAAAACTTTTTTTTTTCTTTTATCTTCTTTTTTTTACCTAGGCGATAGTTTTTGAACTTTATCAAACTATATAAACTATAACCAAATTTATATTTTCACCTTCCCTTTTTGTGATCTACCTACATTGTAAGTATTCGTTAAATTTCTGCGCCATCAATCTTATTTAAAAAAAATCGAGTTTTTTAATCATTTAATTCTTTTTATTTGAATTTTAGCAAAATAAAATGGACGTTGAAGCTAGAAATAGATATTGCGGTCTCTTGATGTTCACATCTTCGACAGATGCAAAAACTGGTAGCATCATAGTAAACGACTATGATACACCATCTTTTAATTTCGTAGACTCAGAACCTGATGCGTCCTCTATCGCCGCAGGCGCCGCAGCACCCGACGAAAATGAAAGTGGAAAAAAATCTCCTAAATCACAACAAGAAAAACGTCCACCTCGTCCCCCAAATGCCTTCATTTTATATAGAAGAGAAAAACAACCCGCTATTTTGGCCGCTCATCGTCATCTTACTAATGCTCAAATTTCGAGATATATCGCAGATTTATGGAGAAGTGAATCTAATGAAACACGTTTACACTGGGAACGAGAGGCCGATAAGACTAAATTAGAACATATGAAAGCATATCCAAATTACGTTTATCGACCAAATAAGAAAGGAAAAAACGATAAAAAACGTAGAGAACGACGAAAATCTTCAAATACTATACTTTCTACAAATTCTGTAGAAACCGGTCCAATTAAAGTAAAAATAAACAAAGGACAAAATCGAACCAACTTTTTGAGCGGAACAAATATTACTAAAGTTTCTAATAATAATAATTATCAAAGTACGATACCAATTTCTGCGGTATCAACAGCATCTTCAGGATCTTCTTGGATGACTAATATTCCTTATAATACGGAAACTAATGG